GGGAGATTTCCTTTGGAAATGTTGTCGAGAGCCTCAAGCCTAATATTTCATCGGCAGGAGAAGTTTCAACTTAAACCTCTCAGTTTGTGAAGTGAGATGATTGCGTTAGGCCCCAAATCATCTATCTGCATGCAGGTAGTTTCAAGCTCTTAAAGAAACACAGGCGTTTTATTAGGTAGCTATAAATAGAGAGTTCCAATGGAAATGCTGACTGAGACTGAATCAGAACTGGAGTTCCTTCCATGTGGCAGGTTAATGAGAAGACAGCGAATTAAGGAAGCCGTGGTAAATGGCAGCACACCAAACAGCTGTTATCCAGAGATTCCCCAAAGACACGCAGGGGCTATTTTGATGATAGCTTTTTGCTTGGGTAATATCAAAGGCGCTAGCTAGTGTAGAGGACACATTTTGCATGTAAAAACTGTCAGGGTTAATGCCTAGCATTGCCTATCGAATCCCATCTCTTCATTACGGTCAATTACCAGTATTCAAAAGGGAAACTGAGGTCCGAAGAGATGAAATAGCACCAAACAAAGCACAATCGAGGACCATAGCAATGAAATAACTTGCAGCTGTATCATAGTATAGAATGCCAGGCATAGAAAGCAAAAATTAAAGTTTGCTAAAAAAAATCAGTCCCGGGTGGGTTTTACATGCAGCAATGTAGCATTTAGTCCAGGGGTTGGCAAACGTTTCCGCTGGCGGGCCGGATCGCCCGTGCGCGGGAGTGCGCGGGTGCGCTTGCACCCGTGCACATGTGTACACCGCTCTTCCCCCGCTGGCTTCTGGAGCCATGGCGGGGGAGGAGAAAGCCGTGGCTGCGTCCCGGAAGTCAGTCCCTGTGCGGAGCTAAACCAGCATGGGGAATGACCGAGCGGGCAGCAAGGACCGGGGGCCAGTTTAATGACGCCCTTGGGGCGTATACGGCCCACAGGCCCTAGTTTGCCGACCCCTGATTTAGACACTCTGGAAGAGGGAGATGCGTTCTCTCCAGATTCACAGGGATGTTTCCCTTGACTATTTGCCTGAGACCTCAGGGAGTTGCTACATGTCTGAGCATAAAATTCTGGCCTAGGTGGTCACCTTATATTGGGTTCGGAATGAAGATGCCCATCCAATAGCAGGGTGGGGAAAAAATAATTCAGGAAGGATAACTCTGTTTCATACTCCCTACATCTAAACAGAGGGCCAGCATCATAGAATCATAGAATTGTAGAGTCGGGAGGGATCCCGGGGCTCCTCCAGTCCAGCCCCCTGCAATGCAGGAATCTCAACTAAATACTTTACTTTTAACTTGACTATGAACCTACCAATCTGGCTGGTTGCCACCACGTTTTTGTACTTTGGGTGTTGGTTGACTGTTAGGCAGAGGATGTCATCTGTATGCTCCAGGTAGAAAGTCTGGCTTCCTATGTGATTCCAAAGAAACATTGGTTTTAGAATAGAAATTGAAACAGAGGCGATTGCAATATACGTACAAAAAGTCAGTCCTAGAAAAATGAACTCATCTGAAGAGGGGAAAAGGAAATTATCACTTCCGTTTGCATAAGAACAATTAAAACTTGATATAAGAATAGCTTTTAGGCCATTTCAACAATGATTTATGCTGCAATTTTAACTTTGCTTATCTGGAAGGGTGCCCTATTGAATTCAAGAGGACTTACTTCTCAGCAAACCTGAGTTAAGATTGCACTGTTAGCAATTTGGCATAAACACCTGTTTATGCCATACTTCATCATCTATCCATTATTTACTCAAAATGTCTTTGAATTACCTGTGGAAAGGTTTTGAACTATGCATGCTGCAGCAGTATGGAAAATAATATCAGCACCATCGTTGAGGTAATGAAGGTTGTTGCGACAATCGAATCCGCGATACCCGAAAACATGGTCTAAAGCCAATTCCTAGAAAGAAAAATGTACCAAGATAATAAGAGGGTTATATGCTACTTTTGGTGAACACTTCTTTTTTCCTCCTCAAAGGAGACACATCAGCAACGACATTTTAAAGAGAGACATTTTCTCCAGCCACCAACCACAAAAAAGTAAAAATCAGAGAGGAACAACGTCCAAATTGTTCTGATGCTGATAATGTTCGCAAAAGTTTATCCAAATCATACAACGAAATTCTGAATCAATAAGCAACATGCAATTAAAAAAAAATGGTTTGCAGAACATTAACAAATATTTACCTCATTCACAATAAAGCCAGTTCAACATCATAAGAAATAAGAATTGTAGATTAAAGTAACAGCTTAACAGACATTTCTTGCTCTTCCAGAAGTGATGGGACCAGGTTTTCTCCATGCTATACTCATCCTTATTAGTACTCAAGAAGCAAAATATAAATCCCTATGCCACTAATCTATTGGTAAGTCTCCATGGGATGAATGCATGTGAGTTCAACTACATGCGGTGCAATACAAGGTACTGAAGATTTCACTTAGCATTTACCTTTTCATATTGTCAAAGGAGAAATTAAAAATCTAAGGGCTCATCCAAACCTATCTTTGCTCCATACTTCCTAGGCAACTGGTCTGGATTTTTCAGGTCCACGTCTGAGAAGACTTTTTGTTGTTGTTCCAGTGCTTTTCTGGGAAAAACTGCGTTCTACTGAACCTGCTAAATCAGAGCAAATGCCATACATGGAAAACCCAACTGCTGTTTGCTCTGATTTGACTTGGAGCGTTAAAAGGGACTTTGACAAGCTGGCAGCTGCCTTTCCAAACATGACTCTAATTTGGTCAACGCTCCTGGAAAAACGTGTGCGGCGTAACAGTCTTTGCCCAGCTGCCGCTAACAAGGCCGGGAAAACTTGTGAACCGAGCGGTGACTCGGAAGGTGGAAGAACTGAAGGACCGGGGGATTGCGCACCTTGCCATTACGTTCAGCAAAAGAGGCCTTCTTCTGTGCTGATGGCGTACATCTTTCCAATCGGGGAAATGATGTTTGGTTGGCCGTGGTCTCTGAGGGCATTAGAGGCTGGTTGCAGGTGTGAGGGTATTGGCGGCAAGCCTTCAGCTCAAGTGGCGGTTAAAAGGTAAAGGGACCCCTGACCATTAGGTCCAGTCGTGACCGACTCTGGGGTTGTGGCACTCATCTCGCTTTATTGGCCGAGGGAGCCGGCGTACAGCTTCCGGGTCATGTGGCCAGCTTGACTAAGCCACTTCTGGTGAACCAGAGCAGCACATGGAAACGCTGTTTACCTTCCCGCCGGAGTGGTACCTATTTATCTACTTGCACTTTGATGTGCTTTCAAACTGCTAGGTTGGCAGGAGCAGAGGAGCAGAGACCGAGCAACGGGAGCTCATCCCATCGCGGGGATTCAAACCGCCAACCTTCTGATCAGCAAGCCTTAGGCTCTGTGGTTTAACCCACAGCGCCACCCACGTCCCATCGAGTGGCAGTTAGGTATTGGTAAAACCTGGATTGGGGGAGGGGAGGTGTGGCCATCAACGGCTCCTCCATTCTAAAGGGTATTCCGCTAAAGGAATCTGGGGGTCATGGTTCCTGTCCAAAGCCCGGGTGGAGACTAGGACCATGGCACGACCTTCCGCTGATCCTGGGGGGCACTCCGAGTTGATGTGCATTAACAGGACTCTCCCTACTGGTGGTTAACCCTTGTGAGACTTCCTGCAGGCGGGCAGGAGTCAGATATAGTTGGTTCAATTCCAGTGCCTAAGCCAATACCGCTCACAAAGTTGTGGCCTAAATTTTGCCCATTAATCTAAAATATGGTGCCCACATGTTATTTTTCAACACAAGGGGGAGGCCTAGGGGTCTTGACATGCAGATGGCATACATGGAAAACACAAATGCTGTTTGCTCTGGCAGGTAGCATTATTGGAAAAACTGACACAAAAATTGAAAGCTGCAAGAGGCCAATAAGAAATTCATTGCAACTGCATGTGCAAATTAAACATTTTGCATGGCTTATGGAGAAGAACATCAAAAACAAACAAAAATCACTGAGGGCAAAGACCAGCTTGTTGCTTGTCCGTAATTGCCATCGCACACAAAAACTCCCAAACCAAAGCAAAAACATCATTCAGCCCAGGTTGCAATTAGCATAAAACAACGAAGGATTAACCCTGACCTCAACCAGTTTCCTTTTTTTATTGATGTTATTCTTTTGCAGTTTCTCAGGTTGAGGAGCAGCTCTGCTAACTGGAGGCCTGAAAGAAGCACAATGAAAACACGAAGATCAGCACACATGAATGGATAAGAAATAACCTACTGGATAATGAAACTAGCTAGCTGGAGCCTGGGTGGTGTATATCTTGCTGTCAAGGGTTTGAGATTATCTATGGTCAGGAGAATGAGTTGCACTCTGCCGTGTTATTTCAAAATAACACTGGAGTAAATCTGAAACAACGCCAAAGGTGTTTTGGCTAGCATATGAAAGAGTCCCTTACGTATAAATGTCAGGAAAGGCGGCTGATTTCATAAAAAAGAAAGGAAGAAATCTGCACCAATCCCAAAGGCTCCTGCTCACTTGTATGGTTGTAAGCTACCTCAAAGGCTGCTCTGACCATCAGGAGTGGCTTCTGAAGGAGCTGGGTATGTTTAGCCTGGAAAAGAGGAGACATGATAGCCATCTTCACATATCTAAAGGGCTGCCACATGGAAGAGGGAGCATGCTTGTTTTCCCCCTGCTCTGGAAGACAGGACTCAAACCAATGGCTTCAAGTTACAAGAAAGGAGAGTCCAACTAAACAGTTTTTTTCCTGACAGTAAGAGCTGTTCGACAGTGGAAGAGATGCCCTTGGGAGGTTATGGATTCTCCTTCCTTGGTGGTTTCTCAGCAGAGGTTGGGTGGCCTTCTGTCATGGATGCTTTAGCTGAGGTTCCTGCACTGCAGGGGGTTGGACTAGATGACCCGTGGGTCCCTTCCAACTCTACAGTTCTATGATTCTCTGATTCTCTTGGAGAGGGCTGAGATGGCAGGGAGAGGATGTGCACATAGAACACTATGTGTGGCCTTTTGCCTCCCGGCCTAAGGCCACAGCTCAGTGGAAGAGTGTCTGCTCTGCATTCAGAAGGTCCTGGGTTCAATCCTTGTCGTCCCCAGGTAGCAGAGGTGGACTCTGGGCTCTCGGATTTCAGCCATGCCCCGTGCGACAATAAACTTTGATACCCCTTCCCTCTTATGCTCTGTTCTACAGCATTGCTGCTGCGCCTCCTGCAGCATGGCACCCAGTGCGTCCACAATGGTCGCGCTACCCTAAAACTGCCTCTGCAGGTAAGGCTGGGCGTGTCCCCTGTCTGAAACTCCGGGCAGTCACTGCCAGTCAGTGAAGACAGTATGTAGCTAGATGGGCCAGCAGTCTGATTCACTGTAAGGCATTTCTAAGATGAAACTTTTCTTGATCTTTAAAAAAAATAGGAAGACAAGGAGCTGCTTTATAGCAGTGGTCCAGCATTGTCTGCTCTGACTGGAAGTGGTTCACTAAGGGCTCTTGTTCACTCTCCAAGAAGGGACTGGGAGTGGATGGAATCTTTGCAGAAGCTTTTGAAAAGGGGGAGAAAATCCACAGCTACTCTGTCGTCTCTGATTGATTTTTCAAGGACCCAGCTGTCAGCATGAAAACAAGCGCTGCTAATTCAAACAGCATCTTGGTATGAAACGAAGAAGGCATGAAGAACATTTTACCATGTGCAATATAACTGGACGACATTTATTGACTCTGTGGTTTGTTTTTAATAAGGCTGTGTGTTGTAGACATCTGACCCAAGTGGCTTCTGAGTCCTCCTAGAACATGACTGTGTTTTCTGAAAGATTGGTTGCCAGACGAAGGCAGAATGTTTTTGTTAGTGAGGGCTCGGTTTTCTATGTTATTTACTGAGCATTTGTTTGGGGGTAATAATAACTGGCTGATTTTCTTCCTTTGCTTTGTTATGTAAGGATCAGCCAGAGACATTGACTCATAATTCTTTGTCTCTACTGCAGTAGCAATTAATGCCTGCAAAGTAAACAACTATAATTATTGGGGTGGTGGAAATAGAACAGAAAAGACAAATACAATGAGCTGTCAGATACAAAGCCCTTATTGCTGGCTTCTATAAATACTGCTACTCTTTCACGCAAATGGAATAGAGGTCTACGGGTTCTTTCAAACATGGGCTTAATGTTATGAATAAACCACTGAGATATCACAAATAGGATGCTGGCAACAATGCGCTGTTTTTTTAAAAAAAACTTTATCTGATTTCCCTTGGAAAGGATGAATCTGGATTAAATTGGGGGGCAGGTATGGGCTGGTGTTTTGGTAACAGTGGTGTTAGTACTCGCTGCATGCATGCTTTTTGCAGAGTCCACATTGGGTTGCAAAAAACGTGCATGCAATGAGAAGCACCGATCCCATAATTAACACCCATCTTGAAGACGGTGGAAGACCCCTGCACAGATTGGGTCTTTGTAATCTTAAACACAAAGATGAATTAGAATACTCTGGCTAATAAGAGGCCTCTTTATTTCTTTTTGGCGTTCAGTGTGACCTGTTAAAGAGTCCTGGTTTCTTGAATTTCAAGAAGTAGTTTGAGAACAACTTTTTAGGAGCATAACTTTCTAACCACAGGAACTGGGTTGTTGCACACAGTGCTCAAATTATGGCAGTAAAAATGGGGGGGTGCATAATGACATGATTAAGTCTTACCACTTGACTCCTTCCAGTTTTAGTAAAATTATCACTCTCCTGTAGTCTTCTTAAAAAGAGTAATGGAGAGTACTGTCACAAAAGGTAAGGGGTTTATGATCCCTTTGCCCCCACCCCTGTAATATAGCCATTCAAGTACACTGTGAGCAGCCATGAAAACATGAGTTTCATTGTGAGCATTTTTTTTATTTTAAAAAAAGGATATTTCATTGTTAGGTTTAGTTATTCAGCTGAATCAAGCACACTCATACAAAAACTTGTTAAGACACAAATGTGCACGTAAGACATTTCATGGCTTGCAATAACTTTTTGATATTAAGACCAAGGTCTTGAAAACGCTGGCAGCATTAATATAAACTCAAAATTGTAAGTAAGTTTTGATGGATGTAATAATGGAATACTGAATGGTATAGTTTTTGTAAAGTATGCAGGGATTTGTGATATGCAAAATGAACCATGGAAAGAGAAGAAGGGAAGTCATTGATATCTTAAGGATGTAAAAATAAGTACTTTAAATTGTAAAACAGAATATATATATATATATATATATATATATATATATATATATCTCACCAAGGTCTAATATGTTTTTCCCAATGCACTGAATGAAATATACAATAGATCAATTATTATCTTTGGAGGAATGCCGAGCATATTATAGTAAAATAAATAAATCCACTGGAACAGCCTTCCCCAGCTTGGTGTCATCCAGATGTTTTCACCATTGGGACTTGTCATCCAAGACATCTTGCAAGACATCAGGTTGGAGAAGGCTGCAGTCAAATGACAATCATAATGGAGGTACAGAAATATGTATCAATGACCTTGGAAGCAGACTTTTAAAAATACAGGTCGTCACAAAGACGACAGCTAATACTGACTATCTCACATTATTTAGCTATAAAAAGTTGCAGCAAAGTTATTGAGGAAATAGCGGCAAACCAAACGACCACAACTCAGGAAGGTAAGTATGTTCAGTTTAAGCATGAGCAAAACACTTCAACACTGAAAAGAGTTACCTTGATCCCCTTGTAAGCAGCAAATAAAGCCAAGTGAGAAACTTAGTACAGTTCAGAGAAACAGAGTCAGGCCATTATAGACATTCATGCACAAGCCTCTTTTTGAACTGACCGGTCATTCCTGTGAGGCCATGCTATTCAAGCATGCCAGCAAGAACTAAAACAGAAATTAAAAGAGTGCACTAGTCCGCATATTCAGAAAGATCATACCCTGACATCGTGGGGCAAAGTCTGCACTAAAGATCCTACAAGACAAGGAGAAAAGAGAGAGAGGAAGCTTTATCAGTGCTCCCCACGTACTCCAAACAGCTCTGCAAAAAAGTCTTTTGGCACCTTGCACACCTAAAGAGAAGTCCAGAGTATAGTAACAGCTTCAAACAATAGATGGATGTGGGGTTTGTTTGCTTTTTTGCTCTAAAGCATCATATATAAAACCAGTTTGCCATGGAGTTGACACTCAGCAGGAAACTGCAGAGAATCACAACTCCTCGAAGAGTGTTCCTGTGCGATATAAGTGCTTGCAAACACAAATTTGTCACATCTCCCTGTGTCTATTTGAGGTGCACATCGAAAAAAATATTTTGAATGCCAACCTAAATACGTAATATTTGAAGGGGCTCCTCGTCCCCATCCAAAGGCAACTTTCCCTCATCCTGATGTTCTGCAGATGTTTCAGACTACAGTTCCCATCAGCCACCACCATGCTGGCTGGGGCTGATAGGAGTTGTAGTCCAAAATAATCTGGAAGGTGCCGAGTTGGGGAAAGGCTGTCCTAAGAAATACCAGATTCGCTGCTTCACTGGGCTGTACTGTTGCAGTGGAAGGAGAGTGTAGGATAGGGCATGTTTTCTGCATTATGTTGATCCAAAAGCTCTGTCTGTGAAGTTTCACTTTAGAGGGTTGGGGTGGCTGTAGAGAGTTTGGGCTCCTCTGCCCTTCCACTTGTCCCATGTCAAGAAAGCACAAAGTTTCCCCACTGCCCTGCCCCTTTACCAGGGAAAACCTGCTCTTTGGCTTGAAATGGGAGCAACGAACGTTGAAGAGCAAAGGTGTGACTAAGCTCTTGGTGTACAGCTGCCGTTGACTCCAAACGCCCAGTCCGTTTCGTTTTTAAGAGATTCCTTAAACAAAGGGTACAAAGCTCTCCACCACCCTAGACAGCTGCCTTCTCCCTTGTCATGCAATGCTAGTAAATTCTGCAAGGCTGAAGTGCCAATTCAATAAGCTTTTGGGTTGAAATGTAGTCCGATCACTCCTTTAAGCTAGCATTGTATAATCTTCTAATTCTACTAGAATTACCGTATTTTTCCATCTATAAGATGCCCCCATGTATAAGACGCCCCTATTTTTGAGGCAACAACCAATCGCCAGTCCACCCTTGGCATTATCTGTGTATAAGATGCCCCCTAATTTTTGACATTATTTTAAAGGAAAAAAACCTAGTCTTATACATGGAAAAATACGGTAAGTGAAAACCAGCAACTCGTGTCTCAGGAGCAATTTCCAAAAGGGGTGAAGAACTGAAGGATTCCTCACCCCACTCCCACTTTGCAGGGAGGAAATAAGAAAAAGCATTGTATGAAAAGTGATTTAAGGCTGTGTTCCTCTGCCCACTAACCTGGGAGTAAGCCCCATTGAACCCAATGAGAGTTACTTCCGAGTGAGCATATATAAGACGGTGCTGTAACACAGTGATCCTATGCACACGTACCCCAGAGTAAGCTCTGCTGGGCACAGTTACATCATTCTAGGCACAGGGATCACCAGGGCCAGGAGGCAATGGTGTGTGTGAATATCTTCTCTAACATCCATTTCCACAGCAGCAGTAAGGAACCTGCCTGCCGCTCCAACACTGAGTAGCCCAGCCACTATCAACAGAAATTTCCATGGGTTGGAGCAGGGGTCAGCAACCTAAGGCCCATGGGCCACAAGAGGCCCAGGGGGGTCGTTTAACCAGCCCACGAGCCACCCCTGAACTGAGCCCACCCACTCGGCGAGTCCCCGCGCACTGCGCTAAACCGGCGCAATGCAGCATAGGGACTCACTTCCGTGGCGCAGGAAACTGTGTCTGTGCATGCGCAGACACTGGAAATCATGTCTGCGTGGATGCAGACACCAGGAATCACATCTGCACAGACGCAGATGCCGGAAATCATGTCTGCGCAGGCGCAGAAAATCGCGGACAGACGCGCAATTCGGCTCACAGAGGGATCTCCACTAGAGTGAACCAGCCCAGGTGAGATAAACCTTGTCGATCCCTGGGTTGGAGCAATGTTCCTCCTTGCCCTTCTCCAGGGGTCAAGGAGAACGGGCAGGATGCTCCGTCACCCTCTCAAAAGCAAAACACTCTCAGCATTCAGCTGCTTTGCAAAGGGACTACCGGAAGCAGTGGCAATCACGGA